ATTGAGGATCAAGGGCATTTTTTTGAATTTAAAAAAATTACCTGTGATAATCAACTTGTACAAAACCCAGATTTACATGCTTATTTTCCTATTGGTTTTCAAAGAACATGCCCGAGTCTGTCAGAAAGCCGTTGTGGATTAGGTCAACATATGCGTCTTCAATTACATTATAGAATCCATAATTTATTTATTTATCAGCAAACCACAGGTATTTTAAAATACATTAATGTGGTGCAAAAAAAAACATAAAAATAAATTAATGTCAAAAAAAAAATATATATATGTATGAAACAACATCAAAAAAAAAAATTATATGTATTAAAAAATGAAAAGTAAACATAGATAAATTTAATATTATACCTTAAAAAAAACCACCAATAACGCTCAAGGTTAATTTTACTAGAATTTTATTTAGATTCTGATACTTTAATGAAACTTCTAAATTTTTTGGGATCATTTATTTTAAATGATTCATTTGGAAGTTTATTCCATTTATTTACCACTCTATGAAAAAAATTATTTTTTGTTCTATTTGTGTGTTTTTTAATCCTTAAAAGTAGGGGCCTGCGAAGTGATCTATTTGAAAAATTAAAATATTTTTGGGAATTAAGAGATGTAAACCCTTTTATAATTTTAAAAGCGGTGGAAAGATCGGCAATTTTCCTTCTATCTATTAACTTTTCGAGTTTACAGGTATTTAATCTTTCTTCATATGGGACCTTGATTAATCCACATTTTTTGTAAATATTTTTAGTGAATAATTTTTGAATTCTTTCAATTTTCTCTATTTGATATTTCATGTGTGGATTCCATACTTCAGTTGCATATTCTAGCTGGGGTCTTATATAAGTTTTATATATATTAACAAGGAGATTTAAATCTCTAGATTTAATGATTCTTGTTATCTGATAACTTTTTAGATATGCATTTTTTATAATCATATTTATATGATTATTAAAAGACATTTTAGAATCTATTAAAATTCCAAGATCGCGAATACAATCTGTTTCTTGTATTTTTAATCCATGAATGTTATACTCTCTTTTTAGGTTATTTTTTCCTAGATATAAGGCAAAGCACTTATGACGAGATATTTCTAAACCATTTAATTCTGTCCATTTTTCAAGTATCCATAGAGCCTTATTAAGTTCATTCCTTTCTATGCCATTTTTATGAGCTACATATAGTTTTACGTCGTCTGCATATAATTTTATTCCAATGTTTTCAGGGATTTGATTTGGAAGATCATTTATAAAAATAAGAAATAGAAGAGGTCCTAGGACACTACCTTGAGGTACACCTGAGAATGTTTCATATTCGCAAGATATTTGGGCACCAATCTTAATCTTGAAATTTCTATCAGATAGAAAATTTTTAAGAAATGTATAGACTTTTCCGCTAATGCCTGCTTTTACTATCTTATCTAGAAGAATATTTGTCGGTACAGTGTCAAATGCCTTAGCAAAGTCGATGTAAATGATATCTATGTTATATCCATCTTGTATTGCGTTATAGAGATCATCCATTGTGGATAATAACTGTGTTGTTGTGGATCTTGATTTAAGAAACCCAAACTGATTTTGATTAAAGAACTTTTTATCTTCTAGGTATTTTATTAATTGTTTTGCGATAATTCTTTCTAAAATCCTACATAGGGTGCATGTTAACGATATTGGACGATAATTAGTTGGATCTGATTTTTCCCCTTTTTTATACAAAGGTATAATAAGTGAAGATTTCCAAATTGATGGAATTTGCCCATTATCAATAATACATCGGAATATATCTGTGATTATTTCTGCAAGTGAATCAGCGCAATATTTAAGTAATATATAAGGTATATTGTCTGGAGAAGTAGAATTCTTGCTAGGAAGTGATCTGAGGATATCCCACACAATACTAGTACTTAAATCTATGTCTGTAAACTTTGATTTTGGAATTATATTTCCATCGCTATCTGAGAGATTAATGTTTCTTTTTTGAAAATTCTTTTGAAACTCTTTTCCCAAAATATTACATTTTTCTTTATCGCTGAAGTAGAATTTATTTTCTTTATCAATTAGACAGGGAATATTAGTATCTTGCGTAAGTCTGTTTCTAATATACCTATGTATCGAATTTCCACCTTTATTGATTAATTTTTCTTCATTTGTGTTATTATGAATTTTTAATTGCTTTTTCAGGTTTCTTGAAACGATTTTATACTTAAGTCTTAGATTGTTATCATATATTCTTTCTTTAAGTAACCTAAATAATCTAAGTTTTTCTTTGTGTAATTCCTTAATTCTTTGAGGGTATGCTTTTCTTATTATCTTATTTAGTGCTCTCATCGGTATATATTTGTTATAAAGACATAGAAGTTCTTTTGTTAGATAAATGTATTTATCTTCCACTGTGAATTTCGTTAATATACCTAGGTCTAAATTATTTCGGAATATAACTTGATTTAAATTAATAAAATTGGATTTACTAAAATCTCTTACGTAAATCTTGGGCTTCCTTATAATTTTAACACGATAATTTAGCTCAAACTCTATCATTTTGTGATCGGAAGTTGAAAAATTCTCTCTAACTTTAATAGTTCTAACAATACCGGAATCAGATGTAAGTACTAGGTCAAGGATTGAATTTTCCCTAGTTGGTTCAGTAACAAGTTGGTTTAATTGATTCTGACCTATAAACTCTATAAAAATATTCGCGATCTTGTCATAATTGTCAATTATTTCGTTGGAATCCCAATTTATGTGTCTAATGTTGAAATCTCCACATAATATAGTTTTTTGATTGATTTGATTTAGAAGGAATTTAAATAACTTTTTTGTATTAAGAATTGAACTATTTGGTGGTCGGTAAATGTTTATGATGTTAATTTCTTTTTCAAGCAATAATTTTATATGTACAATCTCTGATTGAAATTTAGAGCCAGAGAAAATGATTTTAAAAGGTATGTTATTTTTTACTAGGATTGCCGATCCTCCACCTCTTTTTTCTATTCTATTAGCTAATATGACTTCATAATTACCCCTATATGATAGTTCAGAATTTATTATATATCTGTTTTGAGCCATGTTTCATTGATTAATATGAGCTCTGGTTTAGAATTTTCAATTAGGTAATTTAAATCTGGTATTTTATTAGCAAGCGATCTAGAATTAAATAATATACATCTATATGAGCAAATATTCCCGTTTGTTATTTTTGTTTGTGGTTTGCCTGCGTGCCCCTATTTATTTTTAGTTGCCTTGAGCGGTTGTGGTTTTTTAAGTGTAATGATTGACAGATCGACAACAATGTACTTAAACATGTTCTCGACCTGATTCATAGAAAATGCTTGCTTACGCAAGTTATACAAAATATTTAATTCGTTTCGAGTCATATCACGTCTAGCAGTTAAAAACTGCGGTAAAGATGGATTTTGCTTAAGACATTTACGAAAATTATAAAGAAAAATATCCCTAGATTTTTTATTGTTAAATGGGATTTTGACAATTCTTGGTTTCTTATTTATATCATTTGATAACTCACGAGATGGATGTCGATGAATGTCATTTTCCAAAAGATCAGAAGAGACTCCACAATCAGAAGCAATTTTTTTAACTAAAGAAGTGATGTCAACATTTTCAGGGGCCCGTTCAATAACAACTCTTTTTGATTTAGACTTGATTTCTTCGGCGTCCAAAATCGCGTTGTTTATAATATTGGTGAAATGAGATTGTTCTAGAAAAGGATTATGTTGTTTGTTGCTAGCGGAAAATGGGTCTCCAAATCGATATTTAGGAATTTTTTCTGTTGTTTGTTGTTCTGGTTCATTTGTAAGAATGTCCTTACAAAGATCCATTACAGAATTTACAATTTCAAGCATTGCTGCAGCCCAAGGTGGCATGTCATTAGAAAATTGTTCGGAAAAATTAGAAAGTTTTTTGTTTAATTGATGAAGTTTTAATTTTTTGTTGTTAACATTAGAGGTAGTGAGTGGTGTTGACATTGATGTTGAGGTTAAATTATCGATTTCCATAAGTTATTTAACTTTTTTCTTAAACCTTAAACTTGGGTAATTAATCCAGTGCAATATATTGTAAGTAGGGACACTTAAAAATATTGTAAAGCATATAGCTATTTAATTCCTATGCAGGAGGCGCGTGTGTAATAGATAACACATCGGTCAGATCAACTGAAGATGCTAGATCGTAGTCCTGCTCGAGAGTCTCGGTTTCCGTGTCGAGAAATTTCTCAGGGTTTTGAACGTTTCGGTCTCGATCTCGGTGTTTTAGTCTCGGAAAACGGGAAAAATTTACACCCCTAATTCCAGAAGAAGTGTGTGGTTAAGTAGTTAAGTTGATGGACCTTGAAATCTTTTAGCAGAGGGTTGGGTTCGAATACATTATCGAAAAAATGCAAATCGAAGCCTGGACGTCCTGGCATGGTTCGATTCAGCTCGTCAAGGCGCATCGAACCATATCAAGGCGCCCCGGGTTCGACAATTTTGAACGCAGCTATAGCCCCTGGTATCTATCACACCGCGACCGTAACTATTCAGTGGGAATTTATAATTTTACCCAAAAATCAGTTGTTAAATTTAAAGCCAAAAATGGAATCACATTTTATTTTAAATATTTCTATTTATTTAGTCAATTTCTTTTCAATGTCCAATTGATCAACACAACCATCTAAATAACATATTAGCCTCGATTTATAATTTACTTATATTTTTTGATGGCAATGTTATTTTGCATGTAAATTGTAACTTTGGAGGAAATCATGTATATAATCCTCAACAAATTCTTCTCTTTAATTCTTTTAATGAATATCAAAGACAATCAGAAATTATTAATTTGTTAATTAATCATTACCATAATTTTGAAGAATTTCATCATCATCAACACAATATTCATCATAATAATAACCAAAATTTAGTTAATATCCCCCCTCACCCTCACCACCAAGTTCAAATAAATTTAATATTGGATCAAATAAATGAAGGAAATAATTTATTAAATAACATGTTACTACAAATTCAACACCATGGACATAATTTTTATCAACAAGTGGCTGCTGGAAATATAAATTTTCAATTAATATTTGATAATTTTCAATGGCTAAACAATTTTTATATGGAAAATAATAATTTATTAAATCACATTAATGCACTAAATGCAGAATTACAAGCAATAATGAACCAATTAGATCAAGGAAATGATGACCATCAACAAAATCAAAATAATAATCAAGGCAAAAAATAATTATGAAATATAAGAGTTTGCAAAAGTTTAGCAGCCGGGCAGGATTGAACCTGCGACCTCCTGACATTTATCGCTAGGCGCTTTCGCTCACCATATGCAGGAGCTCTACCACTGAGCTACCGTGGCATCGACTAATGCTTTCTCCTTTATCCTTTTAGCTTGTTTAACCTCCGCCTAAGCATTTTAAAAGTGAATCATGAGGCGTGTAATATGAGGTGTGTCCGACCCTAGTCCTTCTATGGACTAGGACAACCGGAGCCTTCGGCGAAACTTACCTATTTAATACTCTCCCCAATCCCATCCCCCAATATTACACATATATAAGAGGATTATTCTTAATAAAATTTTGTTTTTATTTTAGAACAAAATGATGAAGATGATGATGACAACGATTCTGTTATTACCGATGATAAGGTAAACGACATAAAAAATTATTAAAATTAATTCTTATTTAGTAAGACAAATGATTCAAAAATTGAAGCATATTTAAACAATTATAGTTTTAGAAACAAATCATTGAGGAAATCATGCATATAATCCTCAACATGTAGAAAAAATAGAAAAATTTGTTTGACATTTTTTAAATTAGAGATCGGACTGGGAGGGTCAAACGAGAATCGAGATCTATATAACCAAGATTTTTGATCGAGATCCGGTCTCTAATTTAAATATGTACCAGGGGTGTGCCGAAACAGATTTTAAAAAGCGAAAGGCGAAAGTTCAAAAATCCGCGAAAGGCGAAACTGTCACACCCCTGATATGTACCACTTTCTTCACAAAAATATTGTTAAAAATTTTAACACAAAATTTATTAAAAATATTTTTACCAAAAAAAAAGTTAAATTCATTTTTTCCATTTAAATCGTTAATAAAATGAAAATTCAAAATAAAACAAAAATTAAAATATAAATCAAAAGAGGCGTTCTACAGGCGGCGCTTCAGGCGACAAACGAGGACGCTTTGCATGTAAATATGTGTTGCTATATTGTTGTAAAGCTGAAGTTGGAGAACCAAAACGATTTTTACCTCCAACCAAATTACTTTCCTATAAAGTTAACATTAAAAAAATATTTTTCTAGAATAAATTGCCTGATAATATCGAGAACTCGAAGCCGAAGCAAAATCACGTAAACTCATCAAACTTCTCGAAGCACTTTCTCCACTCGAAGGTGAAGGAAAATATGGAGATGGATTTTTAGCAGAAAATGTTCCATAAGGATCATTAATACGCTAAATAAAAAATTTTTTAAATTCAAAAAATTATTTATTTTACATCAAATTCATTTGAAGAAAAATGTTGACGCCAAGATTCTCGTTCAGGTTTCAAATCACTCAATGCTTGAATTTTACTTGCAGAAGAAGAAATAAACGAAGCTGTTTGTTTTTTCCAATTATTATTATTTTCTTCAACTCGAGGAGTGTTAAAATAATTAAGTAAAGGTGTTGGTTTAGTATTTGTTGGTTGTTGAACAATTGGAGTAAATCGAGGTTGGTCTGATTGGGAATCATTCCACAAATGTTGCCCCATTCCTGGTGTTGTTAAAACAGAGGAAACTACTTGTTTCTAAAAAAATATTAAATTTATTTAAATTTTTGTAAACAATAATCTTGCTTGTATATATTGTTGGAGCTGTTCATAGCCGGGATTCAATTTTGGAGAATCACCGATATCCTATATTTTATTGTTAGTAGATTTTTAGTAAAAAATAAAGGCAAATATGTGTTAATTTAAAAAAGGATAAAAATTTGAAGATAAAATTTCCGGGGGTATAGGAAAAAAAATGAAATACAACAAAAATCTTTCCCGTATAAATAAAGAGGGGGAAAACTCCCAAAATGGAAACCGATAAAATTTATAGGGAAGGATAAAAATGGCCGAATTTTTCAAACAGTTATTCCTCATAAATGCGTAATAGAAAAGCACAAAAATATTTTTATTTACCTGAACTTTTGTCTGACGGCCAAGAAAAGACATCTCACGCTGCTCAGGACGATTAAAAAGATTTTTGGAATTTCTATAAAATTTAGAAACAGCATTAATATATTCTCTATTTTTAGAGTCAATAAAATTCAATGTTGGAAGCTTTTGATTCTAAAATAAAAATAAATTAAAATAAAAAAATAATTAAAAATAAAACCCATTTTTTCATATCCTCATCAAAAATCTTTAAAGAATCGTCACTGAAACCATCTCCTGAAGATCTATATAATTGCTGTAAAGTCTTAGCCTCCAAATTCTTAAGATGAAGCCGAATATCAGTCAAAACATTTCCTCTAATTCTAAAAAATAAAATAATTTATTTTCGATTTTCTAGTCAAAATGTTTTTAATTAAAAAGTAGAAAAGGTAAAAAATTATTGTTAAATTTAGATAATTGATATAATTTTATGTTCGACACTTTTAAACTTCTTTTAATGAGAATTTCAAGATTACACTGGGAAACAAATTTTGTAGTAATTAAAAAATTTAATTCAATCTGAAAGTAATATACTTAATAGAGAATCTAATAACATAGAAATAAAATATGAAACCAAACACAGGGTTGATATTTTCACCCCACAATAGATACGACCTTGAAAAACCCGAACTAATTTCCCTAAAATCAAAAAATAACCTGTATGGAGTACCTCCCCAACTAACACCAGTTATCTGATCAACATAAAATTGATGTTCCGAAGACTAAATTTTTTTAAAAAAAATATTTTTTCTTTAATAAAAAAAAACCTTTTCAGGACGCCTTGCACCTTTAAATTAAAAAAATAAATTCAAAAAACTTTCAAAAAATACCAATTCTAACATAAAATCCTTTAACAACTCGAGCAAGTGTTTCTTTATCCCAAGACATCATATCAAATATTTTATTTTTTGACATTAAACATTTACGGAACTAAAACAAAAAAAAATATTTTTTTTTAATTTTTAAAATAAACAAACATTTATTGTTGTTAATTTCCCATCTTTTGTTTGCAAAGAAAAAGGTTCCCTCGTAATAACCTCGTCAGATTTATTCACTAAATTGTTATTAGTTTCATCATTTTTAATTTTTGATACAGAATTTGAAATATTTGAACCGTTGACTGGTAAAGACTTTAAAAAATTATTTTTTGACGTTCAAAAGAAAATTTGTAAAATTACTTCTGATTTGTAAGGTTGTGGAGGTATTCCCAATACTTTTGTTAATTCAGCATATTTTTCACTAACAAATTCATTTATAGGAAGAGGATCATCCTAAAATTTAAAAAGAAAATTTAAGAAAAAGATTAGAACGGAAAAATGAATAAATAATTTCTATAAAATCAAATAATTTTCTAACTTTTAAAATTTTAAAGGAATCAAAAATCTTTTAAATAATTTAACGCTAGAAACAACAAATTAAGGAACCGAACCAGAGAACTTCCCAAAACCAGAAACATAGAAACGGAAAATAATAAAAATTTTTGTAAATCCCTTAATATTTCCCAAAGAAATCTTCAAAGAACAACCAAAATTTAGTTTAAAATAAAAAACAACCTCATCATTTTCATTCTTTTTAACCCATTCTTTAAATTCTTTTTCATTAATTTTCGTTGAACTCACAAGACGAATAAGTGCAGATAAGGAAACAGTTCCCATAAATTTTAATTCCAAAACAATATCTGCAGGCCTGTTCTTTTTTTGCTCGTTTAATTTGACACTCATAATTTTATCAAGCTATTAAATAAAGGAATTAAGCAAAAATTAAAGAAAAAGAAAACCTCAAAGCCAGTTTCAGAACCACCTGAGGACGTCAAACGAACAAAACAACCAGTCAACAATTTAACTAATGGTTCTGAATCCTCAAAATTACTCAATTTTTGAAGATATTCACAAATTAAAACACAATTTTCCAAATCTTTTGCTGTTTTAACAGGCAATTTTGCACGTTTAGCTTTTTCTTCCTCATCTTTCTGAATTCTTTCCAACTCCATCATTGAAGGCAAATTTTCTGCTTCATTCAAAGCAAGTTGAAGTTCAGCAGCTTTATTTTGAATATCATCCAATGTTGGCAATTTTTCATCCTAAAAGAAATTTTAGAAATTTTTCTAATTCGAAATTTTCTAAAAAAATATACCCAAGCCTTCATATCTTCAATCCAATTTCGAAATCCTTGTTCAGTAACAGTCGTAAAACTTTTCATCCAATTTATAATATACCGGCCATAGAAAGGCAAAACCAATTGATAATTAACTCTGGCAACATTTTTAATTTTGTAATTACGAGGCCCTTTAACACAATCAAGAACTCGAACAATATGATATTGACAGTCTTTTGGCTAAAATCAAATAGGTAATTATTAGGGGAAAATAACCACTAGTGAGTAAATTGAGGAAAATCCTATTCTATTTTAGTGTCAATCATACGTGGGTGAAACGTTTCGTTTCGTTGTTTCGTGGGTTTTTTGAATAACGTCGTTCCGTTACGAAACACTTTTTAATTTGTTTAGTCTCGTTTCTTAACGAAACGATTTTTAAAAAATTTTGTTTCGTCCAAAAAAATTTTGAGTTTCGCCCAGGTCTGGTGTTAATGGAAAAGAGTAAATATAAACGGTTCAGTTTCTCTCTCTCGATAATTATCCCTCTAAGCGAAAAAAATAAAAGAAAACCTTATTTTTACGAATTGCTGTCATACAAACAAAACATCCTACAACCACTTGACGAAATCTTTCAAATCCCAATTTTGACAAACTTCGAAGAGTTGAAGGATTTAAAGCAATTTGTGACAAATTTGAACGTGTAAAAGTTATCTTTTGCTTGTCAAGTTCTTTCAAAGTTTGCTTGGCCGAAAGAGTGTCCAATTGTGTTTGAATTTCATTAGCTTTCTGGCGAACAAAACGAAGCGTTGGAATTATTTCGCCCTGAAAATCGAATAAAAAGATAAAATTTTGAAATCATTAAAATTAGAGTAAACCCAGGGGCCTATTGCAATATCCGCCAATTGCCATCACCATTTTATTGCGATAGTTTGCCATCGTCATTATTGGCAAATGGCATGTCATTTTCCAGAAAAACGGCAGTTTCTGTTGCAATATTTTTCAATTGCTATTTCTGACAAATGGCGGATACTACTATATGTATGTATGATATTGTTATCAAAAAACAAAGCCCTTGGCTTCTAGCATCGACTAGGTTCCAAAAATTATTTTTTGGGAATCCTAAAGTGATCATGAACAAAAAACTACCCAAAATTAAATATTAAAAAATAACCTTAGCCTCCATACAATCAAACCATGGACGAACATCACTATCATGATTGGCCTTCAAACTAACGATATTTTCAATTTCAAAATCACCCAAAAAGCGCAGTCGATAATGGCGATCAATCCAGAGATGTTGGAAACTCAAAGGTTCGATTATATCAATTATTTGGTCAATCTTTAAATTTTTTTAAAAAATTAAAAAATATAAGATAATGGTGAAGAATTGGGGATCAGATTCGTGATCAGCTTACAGAGTGGTTTACTTACAGGGTGCCCCTCCCTTACTTACAAGGATGGCCCTTTTGCCTCATTTGGATGGCATTTTGTCCCTTTTTGACCTTCTCGCCCCCTTTTTGGGAAGCCATGCCCTTGCCATGCCCCCTTTTGGTGATTTGGGAAGGGCCACCCTGATTACTTATATAAAATGATTTTCAGAAAAAAAAATAATTTCCTAAGTGTATCCCCAATTCTTCCCCATTAAAAAATAAAAAAATTCAAAAAAACCCCTTACAAAAACACGATCAGAATAATTCGAAGGCAATCCAGGAATGTTAACACGAACAAAAGCTCCAATTACTGTTTGCCGAAAAACATAAAGTTCTGAGGTAGCCAAAAGTTTCAATTGCCCTTGAGTTAAAATAATTTTCTTCATTTCTTCCGTACTTTGAATTGGCTCATCCAAAGAAAGATCATTAGTAGAAACATCTGTTTCGATTATCTACAAAAAAATTTTTATTAAATAAAATTAAAATAACAACAACAATTCCTTCAAAAATGATGAATATATATTTGAAGAGATTGGAAAAAGAATTTAAATTTTTCTTGTAAAAAATTTTTTTTTGAAAGAGATATTAGTTTTATTTTGAGACAAAGAAAAAAAATTTAAAATTGAAGAAAGTCTATAAAGGCAAAGCCTTGAGACTTTCCTTTGTTTTTAAAGTTTTCTGATAAATTTTCTGTAAAGAAAAATTTTTTTTTTATTTTTTTATTGTCAATTCTTTTTTCAAAAGCAGTTATGTATGTGGTAAAAATTCCACTTTAATTGTACATAATGTACGTAAATATGTTAAAAGAAAAAATAGAAATGATAAAATTACGAGAAAACAAGAATTGAATAAAGCAAAATTTTAAAAAATGTTTGGGATATGAGAGAGATGAGAAAAACAGAATTGATAAAAAAATGTTCGGGTCAAAAATAATTTACAAATTACCTGAAGATCACTATCTCCTTGTATAGGCGAAGCATTAACTTCTTCCCTCATCTCCAATTCTGGAGCTTCTTGACTATTATCTAGATGTGAAGTTTCGTCAACAATTTCGATTGGTTGAGTAGAAGGCTCCTTATTTGGATTACCTTCATCTTTTAAAATATTCTCAGTAATGTTGTCTTGTTTTTTAGAATTATCAATTTCCATTAAGGAATTTTGTTTAATAAAATTTAATAAAATTTAATTTTATGTAATCTTAAAATTGAAAAAGGGGCAAAAATGGATTTATTTTAAATAATTTTTAGTTTGAATAATTATAGCGTGGAAAAGTCTTTGATTTACATAGACGTTTAAGGAAAAAGTTTCGAGCATTTGTTGGAAGCTCATACAAAATTCGACTCGTACCTGTGTACATAGTACGAGTATGAGAAAAAAATACGGCCTGTATGAAAGTACGAGTACCAGCAAATTTCAAAATTTTACGGTTCCGAGGAAAAGCCATCTTTAAAAAAATCGGGGTTTCCAAAATTTTCTTCGTATCGGGTCAGGGATGTCACAGGTTGAGAAAAAAGGGTAATAGTTTGGAATTCGCCCCCCCCCCTTTTTTTCACCATTTCCCTGACCATTTTGAGCTTTTTTGTTTGATACATAATTTATAATATATCATTCGAAAGCTCTACGAGCTCGATCGAATGATACCATGATTGGCTAGATCTGATCATTCTTACCAAAATTATGAAGCTAAATCATATTTGGGTAAACTTTTTGTGCCAATGCAAGTGGATAAAATAAACGGTCACAACTTTGTTCACTTATGTCAGATTTCATTGATTTTAATCTCATTCGACTCAGCTCGAAGAGCTCTTTCGAATGATATATAATTTGCCATAAAATGAGAAAAAACTAGGAAAAAATAGAAAGGAAAAAAAGAGGGGGGGGGGCGAATTCCAAACTATTGCCGAAAAAAGTGTGGGTTTCGGGTAAAAAAACCGTGACATCCCTGTATCAGGTCGAAGAGGGCAGTCAAAAAAATTTAAATTGAGCCTAAATTTGAAAACAGATGTAGTAATGCATCTATTTTCTTTTTGTCCCGCTTTCAGGACACGGCCCATCCCTGACACAAAAGTATGTACTATAACGTGCTAAATATTTAAAAATATTAGATGATAAAAGTTTGAAAGGACATTAACTATTTTACATATATTTAGAGGTTTAAAACGACGGATACGAACATATCCGTAGGAAATGATCTAATATCCGTATCCATGAATATCCGAAACTTATCTGCAAATATCATTGAATCATAAACTCATCGACTTTACGATAGAAAAATGTAGAAATTGAAGTGTAAGAGAAGATCCAACCAACTTAAAAAAATGTGAAAGAGAAAACATTAAGCTTTCTCTGGCTGGTCAGTATTACCAACAGAGTATGTTTGTGATTAGCCATTTTGTGTAGCTGATTAGCCACACCTGGGCTCAAACATTTTGCCTTGAATATGCGGCTCACCCCCATTCGACTTTAGGCTTGGAATTTTTCAGTTTTACACGAGGCACGGAAGTGTACTCCAGTCCTGGTTTGGACCGTTAATCTGTGGAGAAGGAATAGAGGGCCGAAGGCTGAAAATATAACATCGAGAAACGGTACCCAGAATTCTGGGTTATTGAGCAGGATTGGGCAGGCTCAACACAACAACAAATGTGTTGATGACCGAAGGCTCTAGAATGACTCTATCATAAAGGGTTCAAGGAATGGAGCCAAGTATGATCTCTAGCTACAAAAGAGTACAGTAATACAGCCGGAGGCTTTATAAGTATTGCTCTTTAAATTGTTATTTTTTAAATATGTATGTATGTATTGTTTTTAAATAAAATATAATGCACAAACATCCACAAATGTTTGTGTCTTTTGAATTTAGTATTCGCAATTAAACAAAAATTAAAATAATCACAACCTGTTAACCAATATTTATTCAACTTATACTTTGTTGACAGTTATGTATGTACATTCAAATTAATGAAATTATCCGAATTATTAACTTGATGAAGATACTATGTACTTTTAAGTAATTAAGAACCTAAACATTTTAACAAAATTAAATAAAAATATACATATTATGTAAAAAACGTATAATGAAAAAACAGACAAAGCTAGCCAGTGTTCAGTTATTGGAAATCAATAACTTCATTTGAGTCTGTTCGAAAATTGAGAAATAAGATCATTTGGAATTCAGTGTAAATATCCAGTAAAGGAAATGAAATTGAGAACCTACATGTGACTCAGTTTCAGTTTTCGAGTTAATAATTTTCGAGTTAGAAAAAGAGTTAGTATCAGTGCTTCGAAGCTCGTACCAAAATTCGTACTCATACTTGATACGAAGTACGTGTACGAGTACGTGGCCTAAAATAAGGGTAGTGCGAGGTACGAGTACGAGGCCAAAAAAAGAGGTGGTACAAAGTACGAGTGCGAGCAAAATCGAAATTTCGAAGCACTGGTTAGTATGTAAATTTGGAATATTTTCTGATGATTTTTAAATTCGACTAATAAATGCTATTTCCAACAAATTTTGGAAATTCTTAAAAAACTTTTCCTAATTCTCAGCAATATTTGCATTATACTCCCCATACTTGTGTGGAGTAATTAATTAAAAATTATTCTTCTTTAATTATTTAAAGATGCTACTTTTACTATTATTAATTATCACAATTTCCATTCTTTTCTTATTTTGGGCAGCAATAAGAAATAATAATTATTGGAAGAAGAAAGGAATTCCTGGCCCAACACCTTTACCTTTAAAAGGAAATATTGACCAAATTTTTGGTAAAAATATAGCAGCAATACAAAAACAAATATGGAGTAAAGAATTTGGAAGTGTTTATGGAATTAAAAATGGATGGTTTAATGAATTAGTTATTAGTGATCCTGTAATGGTTAAACAAGTGTTTGTTGATAAATTTGAGAAATTTCATGGAAGAGCGGTGAGTTTAAAAAATATTAGACTATGAATATAATAATATCGAGAGATTGACATTTAACGAGGATCCTGCCAACCAAAAATAAATTCTCAATTTGGGATTCTGTCGTGATGGCAGGATCCCAAATACCGTATTTCGTCTAATAGTGCGACTCTCTCTATTAGACCGGCCCTTTCTAATAAACCGACCCTCTAGAGGAATGTTGAAAAATAAACCGACTGGTCGCACTAATAGAACAAATACGGCATCTAAAGATGCTGCACGACTTATTTGTTAGTGAGCGAGGGTTTCAGAGACCCAAGGGCCTGGACTTTAGGCCTGGTTTATTGACCTTAATAATACTACATATTCACAAATAGTATCTTATCCCATTTGTATATTTAAAGGCCTCTCCATTATTTGGCGATGTAGATACAAAAAAGTTGATTCCTTTATTTTTTGCTAAAGGCAAACGTTGGAAGCGGCTTCGTGCAATTGCTAATCCAGCATTTTCAATTTCAAATTTAAAAAGAGTAAATATTAAATTTATTAATTTAGCAGAAAGGGGAATTCAAATTTTTACTTTCATACGGTAGAGATTTTCGAGATAAGTGGTTTCGTGAACAAAATTTGTTCTTCTGTAAAATTATCAAAAATATTTTGTGACAGCAAAATTCAACAAAACATATCTATGAAATAACCAAAAACTTTAAATGATTTTAAATTAAAGGTTATGCCAATAATTGACGATTCCATAAAGGTTAATATTCATCTATTAAAACAAGCAGAGCTCTCCGGAATTCATGTTGATTTACATAAGTGAGTTTCGATTAGAGATCGGACTGGGAATGTTGTATAAGAATTGAGATTTCGTCTCGGTCCGATCCCAACATAGTTTCGATAATGTTCTGGAAGTTTTATCCTCCTATCAAAACGTGAAAATGGGAGTATTTGATAATTTGTAAGATAAGGCAAATGAGAGAATATTAATGCGAAGATGATTGAATACATATAACCTTTTATTTTGCAGATATTTCGACGAGCTTACTTTCGATATAATTTCTCGTATCGCAATGGGTCAAAAAGATTCTAGACAATTTAATTCCGAATTTTGTAAAATGGCCCACGATGTTTTTGCTTTACAACACAACAATATATTTGATTATATAGCTTTTATTTTCCCTTGGATTGGAAAAAATATATTAGACCCTTTTGTTGCTTTTACTGGAAAGATTAGAAAAGATCCTTTACAGCTTTTAATTGGAAAAATTTATGAGGCTGTTAAACAAAGAAAGGAAGAAAAAATGAAGGAGGGGGAAGAACAGAAAGAAGAAAATTTAAATAAGAGAAGGGTTGATTTTATAGACCTGTTTTTGGAATCAGAAGTGGAAAATAATGAAATTGATTTAACTAAAAATAATGGAAATTACAGTAAAACTGATAAGGTGATTTTGTGAAATTTTTAGGGAGGGACATTTTTCTTTTAAATACATATTGCAAAGCATATAGCAGCTATTTAATCCCGTGGTGTAATGGATAACACATCATTCCGGTCTACTAAAGATGCTAGATAGCTCCCAGCCGCCAAATAACCTTTTGCACTAGCTAAAGGAGCGAAATAGCTATAGCCCCCCAATAGCATAAGCCAAGCCCTGCATAATCTCCACATTCCCATTAAATTTAACATACCGTATTTACTCAAATAATTGCCCTCTCACAAATAATTACCCCTCCCTATTAATTACCCCCTCCAGCAGAGATCGAAACAATAATTACCCAGGGTAATTACTTGAGTAAATACGGTAATTCCCATCAAAAAGGCATTTAGTTGAAAGTCTCAAATAATTCCCAATTTTATTCAATTTTCATAATTTAATTCCCAGTTTGAACGTCATACAATTTTGGAAGAGATTGTACTTAATTGTGTCCTCTTCCTTTTGGCAGGCTTTGATACAACCTCTAATAATTTGAGTTTAATGGCACATTATCTAGTGATGTACCCAGAAGTACAAAAACGTTTATTTGAGGAAATTGAAGAAGTTTGTGGGGATGGAGAAGAGATGCCTAGTTATGAAGAATTGTCAAAATTAAAATATGCAGATGCTGTTTTTAAGGAAACTCAGAGACTTTGCCCTATTGCTTCGTAATTTTCTTCTTCAAATTTTAATAAATTTATACACTTTAAGTGGGGTAACTCGTATATGTGAAGAAACAACAACTCTTGGGGGTATAATTATAGAGAAAGGCACAAATATATCTATTGACTTGTTAACTCTTCATAGAGATCCAAAACTTTGGGGAGAAGATGCTGAAGAATTTAAGCCTGAAAGGTAGTTGGTTGTCTTTAGGAGACGTTCCCTTACCAAAACATCTATTTATTTAGATGGTTAAATGGAGAGGAACTAACATTTTATTATCCGTTTGGTGGCGGACCTAGAATTTGTATTGGATTACGTTTTGCAATAATGGAAACGAAAATGATACTTGTTAGATTACTAAAAACTTTTGAATTGAAACGTTGTTTAGTGACGGAGGTAAAAATAAATAAGGTACTATGCGTTTATATCCCCGCAATTCAGCAAATGTTTGTCCGCACTTTTTTTCATTCATTCTCCTCATAAAGGATTAGAAACGGTCAAGCCCCCATTTTTTCTTCATCTTCTTTCTCCTCTCACAAAGATTAAAATGTTCAAGTAAATTTTTTTGATTTGATTGGACCGAAATACGTGCCTATGAACATTTCAAATAAAAAAGTTTGTGCAAACAAATACTCATTTGAACCAGTTCGACCAGATGAGCAAATGACAAAATCATCGTGATTGAAAGAGATTAGACAAAGTTACGATACTTGCTCCACCTATGGTTTTTGACCATTTTGAGTCATATATCTCGGTCCACAGGCATTTACGGGAAAAAAGTGGTACCGTTCGACTCAGGACCTTTTATTACCTATATATGACATTTTGAGCATTAATTTATGGAGGTGTGGCAGAACGGAAAAGTACCAATAAAGGTAGAAAGGAAAGGAAAAATGGAAAATGGTCAGAAAAATGGGGGAGGGGGGGGGGGTACCAAACAAACTATTACCGAAATAATTTCTAAACATTCTCTTATTTTACATTTATATCTCCCTTTATTTTTACTTGAACATTTTAATCTTTGTGAGAGGAGAAAGAAGATGAAGAAAAAATGGGGGCTTGACCGTTTCTAATCCTTTGTGAGGAGAAAAAATGAAAAAAATGCGGACAAACATTTGCGGAATTGCGGGGATATAAACGCATAGTACCATAAATAAAATATCGAAATTGATATTTTTTAGGATTTTAAGAAAAATTGTTAAAAAAATCTTTTTTATTCAGGCTGAATTAAAGTTTTGTGGCCAAATTGTGCTTAACCCGGGGAAGGTTTTTGTTGAATTGAAGTTGAAAGAATAAACTTAAACACACATATTAAACTTTTATTTTACATCTAGAAATTTTTTAATTTGTTAAAAATCATTCAATATTTATTACATATCTTGATAAATACTTAATTGTTAATAATAAGGGCTTGGCATAATATGCACACAAAATCGTTGATAGGCCGAAAAAACTTCTCTCATCAAGGCATATCCGCATTAAGGTTGTCGGATAGTTGGAAATCTTAGGATATCCGGATCTTTTTTCCGAATCCGGATCCGACAACCTTAATCCGCATATAAGTGTATAATACTATTTTTATATTTTGCCCAGCCCTTATTTTAAATATTTTTTATTTAATTTTTTTCTCATTTTTCTTTTTAATCTCTTTCTTATAATAATCTTTCAATAACTTCCAACACATTTGATAAGCAATAATCATTGTTAAAAGCAATATAAACAAAGTTAAAACAACAACAAATACAATATCCAAATTATATAATTCAGTTGTGCTTAAATTGCGAGACTCGGGCAACAATTCCTTCAAATCACCCCCATTTTGTTCCAAAAAATTAAAACTTTCAATTAAACGTTGTTCTCCCGAAAAGGGCTAAAATTTAAATAAAAATTTTATTTTGAATTAAAAAAATACTTTAGTCATTATAAGTTTTTGTGTTCTTTCAGCGTTTAATTTAAATCTAAAATTTAAAAAATAAAAGATTTTTCGGTATTTTCGAAAAATAAAAGAGAATCCTTGGACCAAATTGAATATTTGTAAATATTTTTTATTAATTTTAATATTAAAATCTAATTGACCTTTGACAAACAATTTAAAATATTGTAAGAATGGTTCACCTAGAGCATTTAAAGAACTTAGGCGGGGGTTAAAGTGAAAGCATTAGTCGTCGCCCCGGTAACTCAGTGGTAGAGCTCCTGTATGTGGTGAGCGAAAGCACCTAGCAACAACTACGAGGAGGTGTATGAGTCTTAGACCGAAGTGAATGAGTATTTGCTTATTTTCGAGAAAGAGTTTTAAATTTTAATTTTTTATTATTTCTCTTCCGCCGGTCTACCAGCCAACTTTAGCTCTTTCTGTCACTTGCTAACATAAACTTGCTAAATTTACTAAATTTTCATATCTTTTGCTACTGTATTTGGATTTAGAATTAAATAAACTCAAAGACTTGAGTAGTAATAAATTGCCACACTTGGCACAGGTCCCTGTTTCAGCAAATTTACCTACCTAAATTCTTTTTTACCTTTCATTTTCGAGAATTTTTTGTAAAGCAATTTTAAATTCCTCATCACTTTTTAACAACAATCTTTTATCAAAATATAATCCCCATCCATTACGTTCAGCTACTCGAGCATTTCGAAATTGGTCAAAAAAGAAGGGGATTACTAAAACAGGAACTCCAGCCGTTCCAGCTTCCAATAAACTATTATATCCACAATGAGTTATAAATAATTTTAGACGAGGATGATCTAACAAAAAAAATTTTTATTTTTATTATAAAAATATTTACTTAATATTTTTGTTTGAGGAATCCAATTAATTGTAAAAATATTTTTAATGTCAGTTGCGAATTCTTTTATAAACTTTAAAAAAAATAAATTTTAAACTAGGGGTGTTCACTAAAAGTTATTAATCGGTACCCCCGATTATTCGGTTAATCCAAATTTTAAAACCCGGCTTTCTGTTTTCAGTTTTGATCAAATACCGGTTTTATTTTGGGGGAATTTTTAATAAAATCACACTCATTTTCTGAACTTTTCGGTTTTTTAAATTTTTTAAAAACAGTTAATTTTTGGCAAAAAATATCACAATTTTCGGTTTTAAAACCGTTCGTGTCAACCCTTATTTTAAACTTAAAAAAATACATTATCTGTTATATCCACTTTAACAATAAAATGATAATTAGAAAATTCTTTAAAAGTTTTGAATAAATTTTGAATAAATATTTTAGGTAACTCGTTGGTGCTCATTGATGTGCCAAAGGAGAAGAGGACAACACCTTTCTTTCCTTTTTTCATTTCAAAATTTAGTTGATCCTTTTTTCAAAAATAAATTTTTAAAATTAAAGTGAATTTTTAAAATCAAACATCAAGTTTATTTAAAGATTCTTCAATTTTCTCATTCATTCCAATACCTCCAATATAAATAATATTTGAAAATAAAGGTCTAGGGAAGTCAACAAATTCATCAGCATTTACAAGTATTAGAGGAGAATCTTTAATTATTTGTCGAATGTCTGGATAGTTTGAACTTTTAAAAATACCATTTTAAAAATAATTTTCACCAAAAAAAATTACCCAAAATGTTTTCTCATAATTAATGTCAAAGAATCATAAACTTCAAAAGAAAGGTAATAACCTGCCATTTGAAAAAATAAATTAAAAAATCTTTCAGAAATTGACATTTTATCGCTATATCCACTAAGTGTAAGTCCTGGGACATAACTAGTTGGATATGGAAGACCTAGAACAGAAGCTGTGTGCTCTGGGATTGGCTGACTATAAAATTATAAAATTTTATTTTCTGAAGTTTTCTCTAAATTTTAATTATTCCTCATTCAACGAGTATAAAATCTAAAATTATTTTCAGAATGAACTGAAAAATATTTTCTTGTGAACCCTAACTTCTTCAACGTAAATATTATTTTCGGCTAAATTAGAAAATAAGTATATTCCAATATTGGGGTTAGAAAAAATATTAATTGTATAAAGTAAACCTTTCATTTTCTGAAAAAGAACCCCTTAATGCTTACTAGAGATCGAGCCGGGTCTGGACCAAGGCCTGGGTTTTCCTGTACCCAGAGTCCAGGTCCAGGCATTTTTTGACCTTCCTGGGTTTTTCCTGGACTACAGGCCCAGCTCTGGCCCAGGTCAATAAATCAAATCCAGAGCCCAGGAACAGGCCCAGGCTTTTCAAAAATCTCGATCTCTAATGCTTACCTTACAAGCAAAATATGAGTTCTAATGTCTAATAAAGGTGCCAGAGCAGAACCACAATGGAAAAGTTGTTCTGTAATAATTACGTCATATTTTTCAGAACGTAATTTTTCTATTTCTTCTTTCCTTTCAGTAATTAACACTTTAAATTTATTTTTTAAAAATAAATTAAAATTTTGTATTTTTACTTTCACATTTTTTATTTGCTTCCTTAATATAAGGAATAAATAGACGTAAAATAAAAATTGGAGTAATTGTTTGAAATGCCATATTAGAAATATCTTTAAAAATCTGGTCATCAATTGTGGATGTAAAAGATCCAATTTGTTTAATTTTGGCATATTTTGTAATATTTTTTAGGCTGTCAAAAGGCAAGTTAAATTCAATTTGTAAAAGTGTCTGAGGGAGAAAAAGAATTTATTTAAAATATTCTAATCATAAGCCCTGGGGGTATATTTTTAAATGGGTCTCCTCGGATGGGCTCATATTAGAGGTGGGCTTCTAATAGAGGGGGGCTTATATTAGAATATTCACGGTATTTAAAATTCGAAAAATTAACTTAAAACTAACAACATCATGCCCTCCTTTAGCTAAAGTATCAGCTACTCTCGCATCTAAAATCATATGACTTGCACTAACTGTTGGAGAGAATACGAGGATTTTATAAGAAAAAATATTTTTAAATAAAAATAAAATAAAAATAAATTTAATCATTTTTATTATTAAGAAATTTTGTTAATTTAAGAGAGAAAAATACTTAAAATAAATGTGAACAGAAAAATAACGAATTTGGAAGGACTGATAAGAACAGGAAATAATAAAAGGACAAAAAATAATTTTTAAATAATACATATACCTTTCTACAAAATTATATAAGTGAAAGACATTAAAAATCTAAAATATTTTAATTAATTAATAATTTTATAAGTAAATTGAACTTTAAAATTAAATATTATATTTAGAGTAATAACTAGACAAAGAAATCTCGTACCTTACTATAGTTCGTACCGTAATATCAAAAAATCCCATCTGTAGTACGGTAAGGTCCGATCTCTACTAATAACTAATTTTTGAAAAAATAAAAAAAATAATGCTAAAACAAGATTTAAAATAAATCTTTCCATCATTTTATTTGTTTGTAAATAAGTTATTCATAGAAATTTATATAAATAAAAAAACTACAAAGTTTAAAATAAAAAAAAATTTATTTGCAAATACCTACATATTATAGGTATATACTAAAATACTTGCCGTTTTTGCAAAAAATATAAATTTCTGATCAAAAATATTTACCTAACACACAATAAGAGAAAGTATTTACATAAAATAAATAAATTTATTAAATATTTAAACTTATTAAAAGTTTTTACCAAAAGTATAAAAATAATAAAATAAATTTAGTTAATATATTATATATTTTAAACAAAATATAGTAAAGGGAATCAATTTTTTAAAAATATTTTTTGCCTTCAATAATTTTTAAAAATTAAATTTTAAGATGAAAGAAAAAATGTTTCTTAATATTTTGATTTTATTTTTAATTATTTTACCAATTAATGGACAAGCTTTAGACACAACAACTATTATAATTGATAATTCTGAAATAAAGGATATTAATTCTGATACAACAACAATAGATTATGGAGAAAATAATTATAATAGTGAAGAAAATAATGAAGAAGATAAAATAATAGAAATTGATATTTTTATTATTGAAGAGAAAAATAGTAAAGAAAATAAAGCCTCGACTGTTGAGCCTTGAATGGAAGAATTGGTGGGGTTAATGGAAGAATAACAGAGAGAATAATTTTTATTTAAAAATTAATTACAAATATTAAATAAATATATATAATTTTTAATTATATTTTTTGTTGATTTATTATTTTATTTAAATTAAATAATTATGCTAAGATTAATTATGAATTGTTTTTGGGTACACACTATCTTACCGCGTGCCCAACTTACCGCAGAGCTATAACTTCGTTCAGAATTGACGAATCTGGAACTCCTGGTATGGTTCGATTCAACTCGTTGAGGCACATCGAACCATACCAAGGCGGATTTTGAACGAAGTTATAGCTCTGAGGTAAGTTGGCCTGCTCCCATTGTTTTTTAGCCAAAGACATTTTATGATAAAAAAGTATATCCGTGATCGTTAAAATTCATTCCTTTTAACACTAATAAATACAAAATAAGCTCTATCATATTAACTTTATTTGATCTCATTATCTTTAATTTGAAAAAAGTTATGATGGAATGAGTTTGTGCAGTAACATTCTGGTCACCCTGTATAAACATATACGATACAGAATCTTATTAATTTAAGTTTATTTTGCATTGACTCTGTCGACTGTTTTGCCTTTCAATATAAAATGGTATATAATTATTTTGATATTTTTATAAAGAAAATAATTATTAAAATAAGTAAGTTATTATAAAGTTAATTATTCATAATTTTTATTAAAGCTTTTTATTAAAAAATACTTTATTCTTTTTTAATTATGAAATTATAGATGACATTAAAAAAAATTTAATGCCATTCGAAGCTCCAATTAACCGAAGATGTTTGCAAAAATGGCAAAAATAAACATACACATTTGCTACTAAAATTTATTTATATTTAGATTATCCTTCCAATTATTATTTAAGTATTTATTAATCCTCTTTATTTATTTCTTTTCCATTTGTTTTTGTAAAATTTTAAAAATATTTACTAAATAATTTATCTATATTTGAGTTATACACTCTGTCACAAAATGATAAACACCCCTTAGTTTTCACGTAAAAACATATTTAAGTTTAAAGTATCATAATTTAAAAATTTTTTTTATGAATTTCTAATTCATAATCGAAAGAAAAAAACAATCAGATATAAAATATTTATGGGTAGTGATGGATAAAACTGGTATTTACATATAAGCTATAATTACAGTCTGATCTCATATATTTCTAAATAAAATCACACAATATTTAGATACATCGCTCCACATCTTCCTATTTACGTTTACACATGGATACGGATATCCGGATCCGAAAAAAGGCCGATATCCGGAAATTTTCGGTTCGATATCGGATCCATATATCCGAAGATTTTCAATTATCCGCCAACTTTACTCGGACCCCATTTTTTAAGCCCAAAGGGGTATACACAGTACTGAGGTATTTAGCTATATTTTTTCAAGATAATAGCGTTGCATTGTAAAAACTGCCATAAATTTGTATCTAGCCCTAAAATGATTTTTATAATTTTGGAACCACAAAATTGTTACAAAATACAAAAATTAATTTTAATTAAAAATATTTTAATATTTTTACTATTTTAAATTATAAAAAAAATTTCTTTTATTTAAAATAACAATAAACAATTTCTATTTAGAATAAAATTTAAAAAACTAAAAAAAACTAAAATTTTTATTAAAATGTCTTTTATTTGTTAAAATTAATATTTAATTTGACGTTAATTTATTAAAAAATGTAAAATATAAAAATTCTTTTTTAGTTATTTTAATTAATTAATTAACATATTTATTATGTACATATTTTTATTATTTCTTTTTTCCCCTTCATTTAATAAAATTTTAAATTAAATTAATATATAAATTTAAAAAATGATTTTTAACCTTAAATTTAATCAAAATTAAAATTTTAAAAAATTCCCCTCTACAACAAAAGATTTGAGAATAATTATTTTTAATTAATTAATTTTATTTTTATAAAAATAATGGGAATTATCTTTATAAAATGTTACTATTTATATATTTTTTTAATTAATTAAAAACAAAATATTTTGCACCAAAACTATTTCGAGAATAATAATTTTATTTAAATTAAAATATTTGCACAAATACTACAAATTTAAATAGACAAAGCCTTTCTTTTAATTTTAAAATAGAAATATTTTAATTAATAACTTAAAAAATTAGAGGAATTAAATTTTAACGACAAAAATATTATTTTATTTAAAAATTTTTATAGTTTTTATTGTTAAAATTTAATTTAAATAATAACTAGGGTCAGGATTTTTAGGATTTTTTTTATTTTTTTTTCCTGAAATGCTACGGCTCCGAGGTTAAATTATGCTGACTGCTTAAGGAAATAAATTTACTATTTCTTCATGCATTTTTGGCAATTTTGACTAAAAATTTTTTTTAATCTTTGATTTCCTATTTGATTTTCTATGCATAATAAATAAATTCTTTTAATTAATTAGTAGTCAAATGCCAAATTAATTTTTTCCTATTTTATATTTAAATACAAAATTTTATTTTATTTCCCCATTTTGCCTTTTTAACAATTCTATCAAATTCATCTGCTCCTTTTCAAGTTACAAATTGACAGGCAAACGTGCTAGCTTTAGCTCGGAGCATATGGAAACGCTTTTTATTTGAAAAAAATTTTTTTACCTTCAAAAATATAGAGAATTAAAATTTCTTTCCTATCTCCGAGTTTTTGGTTCCAAGAATCTCTGATAATTTCTTAAAATAGCAGATCTGTTCAATTAAATAAATAGGTAAATGTCCAGCTCGCTATCTACCTGCTAGTTTTCCTACTTACTGCTACGTTTTCATTTGGAAAGGGAGAGAAATAAGAAATAATTAAAACTATATTTATTTTACAAATAATCATACAACGTAAACTTTTGACAACATTCGCAAATAAATTTCTAGAAGATCGGGGGATAAGAAGCTTTAATTGGAACAGGTAGATAGCGAGCTGGACATTTACCAAATAAATATATTTCTTTTTATTTAAAAATAATTTCCTTTTAGAATTACTTTAACTTTTTTATTTTAATAAAATTATTTTATTTCAAATAACAACATTTACTAAATAAAATAATGAGTATTCAAAAACAAACAGTATAGTTTTTAATTATTTAAATTAAATATTAAAATATTTTTTATCAAAATTTAGCTTTTTGATGTTTATGGAGATAAAGGGCTTCCGGCAGATTTAATAACGATTAATGTTATTCGAATAGCCATTGCTACTATTGGGATATTTTTAAATGCTTCTGTTGTCTATGTGACTGTTAAGTGCAAGTATGTGTTAAAAATAAATTTTAAATAATTATGGAAAAATTATTAAAAAAATATTTAATTTGTATATCAACTGATTTTCATTTACCGTAAATGCTATAATAATGTCCCTCTCTCAAATAATTACCCCCTCCCTATTAATTATCCTCTCCAGCGAGAGGTTGAAACAATAATTACCAAGAGTAATTATTTTAGCAAATACGGTATTTATTAAATAATTTTGTTTAGTATTTTTTAATATTACTTTTAAATTTATTTCTCTTTATTCATTTAAAATAAAATCTGAACATAAAAAAATTAGAATTTTTGTTTCATTTAATTATTAATATTTTACAAAATTTATCAAATTTAAATAATTTATTTATTTTCAATAATTCAGAACATTAAAATCCCCTTGCCATTTTTTACTTGCTTTTGAATGCTTTTCGAATGCTGTTTTTCAAACCCACAGTTGGCTATCCATAACTGTTATTTTTAACCCTGGACATCAATTTATAGATATGAGATTTTGTTGTAAACAATTAATTTTGATTTTTATTGTTGGATTTACAACTTCTTTTACAGCGGCATTACTCGTTTCTTTTGATAGACTTTTAAGTGTTTTATTCCCCTTATGGTCTGAAAAATTATTTTTTTTTGGAAAAATAATTAATTAATTAAAAGGTATTTACAAAGAATTGTTAAAAGAACATTTTATTTAATTCCAATGCTTTGTACATTATTTATTTGCCCGGCAATTATTATATGGGCTATTTATCAGATAGTTAATACAATGCCGGAAACTTCGTAAATAATTA